CCTAGACCACATACGTGTTCCAGCAGCAACAACTGCATTGCAAATTAAATCTGAACCAGATAGGCCATAAAGCTATTATTTTCTTTTTCACTGTGCAAGCATTTTTTAAGCTACACCTAATCCTGACAACTGGATCCTGTCAGATGGCGCCTCTTTAAAACCAAAATATAAGTTAATAAGCAGGTGAGATAATATGCCTCCAGCAAACACTCCTCCTCATAACAATAAAAATTGAGCATTTTTCATCATGTAAATTTTGCTGTAAGCTTACTTATATAATGCTGTTTGTGAAGCTTTAAAATGTGTCATGTTTTGCACTAAAATATAATTGAATTAATAGTGGAACTCTGATTTTAAGTGTTTGGTTTTATTAGTCTGAGATATCGCCTAGGATTCTCAGCTGTGAAAACTATGAGGTAAATGTGTGAAGATGCATGGTTAAGATCCCGAGCTCTGGAGTCACTGCCTGGACTTGGATCTCGGCTTTCTTGCTCAGAAGGTCCAGCTCGATTTCCTTCCTTCTAATCAATTTTAAATGAAGTAATCTATATAACAGTTCTTAGCACAATTTCTACCTTCTCATAAGCAGCCTATCACTAGCTACTATTTTATCAAGCTTATTATTACCATTAGTTTTTATGTGTGTTGTATGGATCCATTAGGTCACTAGTCTTCTATTGCAGGATTTGGCAAAATTTTTCTTTAAATGCTCACATAAATACTTAAGCTTTTGTGCACCATGGAGTCTCTGTTTTAACTACTCAATCCTAACCTTGTTCTATTAAAATAGTCAATCATATGATCACATGCTACCTGTAGTTAGGAAGGTAGATCCCAAGTGTTCTCACCAAACAGAAAAGAAAGAAAATGAAATGTCTCTCACTAAAGATGAGAAAGGAAATATCTGAGGTGATATGTTCATGAGAATGTGATGATAAGTTCACATGTATATGTTTATCAAACATCAGATTATATATCTTAAACAGACTATTTTAATTATATATAATAAAATTACAATTTAATAAAATAAAACATACTTTATTTTTTTTAAAACAATGCAATCAAGAACCAGAAAGTTCTACCTCCCCAATATTCATTTAAAACCTTTCATTACGTTATTACATCCTTCTCAGTTTCGCATTTAGTTAGTTTCACTGAATCTTGCCTTGTTTTCCTCTAGGACTTTAGTCCCATAATTTCTCCAGTCCTATGCAAGAATGCAGGTCCCGCATAGACTTCAGAGTATACCTGTTCTCAGTAAGCTTGCCCAATTATGTTTCCACTTTCCATGCACGCCCAAACCTGGATCTTCTATCTCCTGCCTTCACCAGGCCTGATAAACTCTGCTGGAGAGAACTGCACAGCGATACAGATTAATGACACCATAAAGACATTACCTCTAATTTGCTATGCTTACAAATTCCTCTCAGGAAACTTTCTTTGTTTCCTTACAGATAATTCAAATGATTTCTATCTCTTGTTCTCATAAATTTCCAAATACACAACAGTTTCAGGTTAAAAGCTCTCCTTTTCACCCAACACATGCACACACACACACACACACACACACACACACACACACGCACATGTTTACATGTCTATAGGCAAACATATCCTTTATTGTTTTCCTCTTTTGATAATGGAAAGGAAAAATTATCCTGCCCCTACCTGAAGCCAAATACTCCATTTGTACTGTAACAATTCATTTCTTCTCATATTCTTAGAGGCTGAGACTGTAAACAATCCCCACTGTCTTATCTGATTTTGAGCCTCTGACTGTTCGCTAATTCCATTAGCACTTTCAATGGCCGTCTTAAATGTGGCCCATACTAAAAACAACAACAACATATAAAGTAAAAACAACAAAAAAGAAAAAAGCGTATTAGAATCCACCTTTTGGTTCTGCTACTACTTTCAATCTCTCTTCCTTTCTACAAATCTCAGAACAGTCAACTCTATTTGTAGTTTATATTTCCTTCTGATAGAAGTCTGGCTTTTATCTCTGTTGCACAGAGTGAAGCTACTGTTACTAGTGGTGCCAAATCTTCTCAGACGCTAAAGTAAAAGAGACCGCTACCTCCTCCAAGGCATTTTCTTTTCTAATTTCCATGACACCTCATTACTTTTATTTCCCTCCAATGTTCTGGAGGGTTCTCTGGTTCTCAATCAAAAGCCTTACCCACTCTTGTGGCTTAAGGATCCATAGACCAATAATATCCACCTAGCCCCTTTCTTCTTCCTGGGCTCTACATGAACATAACAAATTATCTTGTGAATATCAACACCAGAGGCTCTTCAAATGTTAATAGTTCAACTCAGAATTAGGCTTGCTTTTTCTTAACACATGTTTCTTTCACTTGTGGTATGTTAGTTCATGGCAATGTTGGTCTTATTGAGGTAAGAAATCTGTGGTTCCACCTCTATATTATTTCTGTATGTGATCAATGAGCAAGTATCATTCTTGCAACAATATTTCAGAATATTTTGCCTGATTCTCACCCCATTGTCCCTTCTGGGTGCCATCACAGCACTTTGTTCTTTTCTCAATGTAGTATTTGCCACATAAATTGTATGTTTCTTACTTAGATGTCTGTGCCATTTGTCCATTGTCTTTAAGGAGGCAATTTGACAGCTCCATATGTTGAAGAAATCTTACAGGGATACAAACTATAACTTCTTCATAGATATACAAATTATCCTAGCAAGCGTACTATTATATAAACTATTTTGAATAACATATTTTACTGCTTTATGGATATTAATTAGTTCCAAATCAACTTGCAAATTTAGTTTAGCATTCTTAATTGCCTACATATGTATCTAGTCTTTAGCACATTCTCTAAAAGGGTTGTAAAATGTTACTAGTCTGTCACTAATTAAATAGAATCTTGAATGCATATTAATTTTCTACTAGTTTATAATTCTTGCTATTTTGCCTTCTTAAAATTATACTTTAAATGCCTGTTTCTCATAAACAAAACATATTCAAGAATTCAAAATATATTAAATACAACTTTTCTTCATAAATGATTCTCTGATTACTTTAATAATCAGAGAAAAATTAGGATGTTTACATACTGAATTCTTTTGACAAAACAAAGGAAATAGAATAACATTAGGCTGACAAAATGGAACAACAATGATCAGATCACGTCAGCGGACTTAACAGGATGTACTACAAGAATTGTGAGAAATATACTTTATTAGGCAGAACAGAATTGACAAGGAAAAACTTGGAATTCAGGCACAAGAAAGTAACTATTTTTCTAGAAAGACATCTAAAATGACAGTAGAGAATTCAATTAACGAAGACACAGTAATTGATATTAAACTTTAGTATCTTTTATTAAATAAATATCTTCCATAGAATTAACAGTCTATGAATCATTGCATCCTATGCAGTGGTGCCTTCTTGAGATAGTCTTCTAGGAACCCCTTTCAACTCTTGCATATTATTGTTTGAAAGCAGCGAGTTCCCTAGATGCCATTTTGCTTTGAAACAAGCACCCCAGTTTGGGCCTCCTGAGACACCATTCCTATGGAAAGTCCCATCAAGCTTACTTGTGACTCAGCCTATAAAGTTAAGCTTCACCATACCCAGGAATCATCCTTCACTGACTTTTAGACTCAGTCTTGAGGCAAAGATCAATTCTGAAGTGTGCTAGTTCATTTCTCCTATTATTCTATAAATAATATATAGGAAAAGAATATTATACTTGGAGTAATAAGGAAAGTCATTGCCTCTCAATATTTAATTCAAAGAACAGTAGAATTTAAGCTGTGATTGATAAACACCTTTTATTTAATTCTTATTTTATTCCTATATTAATATCATCAGAAAAACACACAGTTCTGACATACGTCCTTCAAGATTAGATTAGGCCGTGGTGGCTCCCAGATACTTTTCTCTTTCCTCAGAGTCCTATCAAACTTTTATACTATTCTTGTAAGATTTGTACAATGTCTTTTCCATCTCCTTCATGCTACTGTTCCACATGAGTTTTAACTCCTTAAACATAAGGACAATGTCATTATTCTGGATCAACAGTCAGTAAATTTCATTTTCTAGACCAAATCCATCCAGCTGCATATTTGTGCAGCCTGAAAACTAAGAATGGTTTTGGGGTTTTTAAAAACTTGTTTTTCTTTTTCTGTTTGACATTTTAAACTGTTGTAAAAATCAAATGATGAATATTATTTTTTTGCTGTAAAACTAACATAAAATTCTAAAATTGATGCTCAATTTTACTGGCACACAGTTGTGCTTTCATTAAGATGGTTGATTTTACAGTACCTTGGCAAGTTAGGTAGTTACAATAGCCACAAAGTAAAAATCAATCCATCAATCAATCAATTAATTTACTATCTGGTTCCTAGCAGAAAGGTTGTAAATCCCTGGTCTGGAGCACAGCTGTTCCTCCACCACCTGAAGCTTAATAAACTTACTATCTATTGGACTAGCGCTGAGTGGATGAATGAAATGAATGTGACTTGGCATAGGGAAAGGATAAAACAATATAGTTTCAAATATCTCATTGAAAGTCAAAAGCAGATGAAAATTGGAATGGTTAAAATATATTTTATGGCTTAGGGTCAGATAAATAAAGTCAAGTTTACTAAAAATACCAACCAGCTGGTAGTCTCATAACATCAATGAAATGGGAGCTTTAATGAGGTGTGTGGATAGGAAAGAGCCCGTGAGAAGTTGTGAATGCCCTGCAACATGAATCACACTCGCTATAGTTGTATCTCTTACTTGAATTGCTCAGTACCGGTTAGGAGACACTTGATATTCACTGATAACCCTGACGTTCACTGAAATATCAAGTTAAAATAATAAATGATAAGCACAAATATACTTTCTCTTTCTTCCAACTCATGGAATGAGAAAACTGATCCATTGGTTCTCTTTGATGTTTCTCTCAATTAGTACATTTGCAATGTTATGAAAAAACATAGAGAAAAACCATTACTACTAATAATTCTGTGTTGTCTTTCAGAAGGTAAGAAGAAAACAGGTTTCAGGGCCTCTGCGTTTCCTGCTGAGAGCGAAGAGTGCATGAAGACAATTCAAATATGTCAGAGACTTCGTCCCATGACTCCTTCTATGATTCCTTATCAGACATGCAGGAAGAAAGCAAGAATGCTGACTTCTTCCCGGGGTTATCTGCTTTTCTCAGCCAGGAAGAGATAAACAAGAGCCTTGACCTGGCCCGGAGAGCTATAGCCAACTCTGAAACAGAGGATTTTGACTCAGAGAAAGAGATCTCACAGATTTTCAACACCTCTCCTGTCAGCCTCCGTGAAAATCCTTCCCACAAGGATACAAAACTGGGGGAGCAAATCTCCTCAGTAAAACCTCAGAATACTAAGCCAGCACCTATCCAGTCTCCAGCAGAAGAACCGAATGAGAGGATCTCGTCACCTCTTTCAAGGAGGAAATCTGCTGTGTCCCCCCAGTTTGCTAGACCCAGTTACATCCGGAGCCTCCGAAAGGCTGGCAAACGCGGTGCAAAAACTCCCAACACAAATGCAAGGCCCAAACCAGCTCATCAAAGTAAAGCTGGTCCCCACAGTGAGCTCTGCGACAAGGCGGCTAATTTCATTGAGGAACTGACATCTATATTCAGAGGGGTAAAACCAAGAAATAGGAGCCCGAATGGGGAGTCTTCATCACCAGACAGTGGATACCTTTCTCCTAAAAATCAATCATCGGCCCTGATGACTGCCTCGACCAGCCAGAGCCCTACAGAAGAGCATCAAGAGATGGAAGCAGAGGTCAAGTTACCTGCGGCCAGGCACTGCTACCAGGCTGACCAGAACATGGCCAGGCCACGGTGTAACAGCATCTCTCCCCTGCAGCCCTCCAAAGCCCCCCACTTACCATCTGCACCTCGGTTCATCCAGAAGCTAAGGAGCCAAGAAGTCGCAGAAGGAAGTCGTATTTATTTGGAGTGTAGAGTCACTGGGAACCCAACCCCTCGAGTCAGGTAAGACATTTGTATGAATTCCAAATGGTTTTGTTGTTCTTTGAATGTCAGAGGAGGAAAGACTTTCTGTGTACTTAGCCCGCTGGTCACTGAGGCACAGTTTGATCAAGTACCTGCAAGGCAAAAAGCATCTCAACTTGCAAATTCTAGTAGCCCTAGTATCCCTGGAACAGTTTTTCTATGCTACTAACTCAGAAAAAGATCACAAAGATGTGATGACCAAAGAGGAGTGCAATCAGGTTGTTTTGTGGGACTCTAGAATTAATAACAACCAGGACAACTTAACACATGATGCTGATTTGCAGAAAACACGGAGAAAAGTATGTATTTGAATATGAACTGCTGAGAGTAGTCAGAAGTTGTCAGGAGACTGGAAGTTTCATCTCAGAACTTAGCAGAGGCCATCCATAAGAAGAGTCCAAATAGATAACACAGTCCAACTAGATAACACAGGCTTACTTTAGTGCCTGCTACACCTGTACATAATCAGTAAAGATAAGTGCACGTACACACCTCCAATATTGATGCAACCAAAGACAGAACTTTTCTAACAAAGAAAGAGAAACCAACTTGGAAGTAGCAGAAAGCCCATTATTTATGCACAGGTTCTGGACATGAAAGAATAGGTGTAACAAAATATGACGAGTACACGCTTAATAACTCATGGCACCATGTCCATTATACTTTCTATGCATTCTCATTAGTTTCAGACTTTACACCTTCTCCTGTACAAAAGGATACAGAGAGGGACCGGGAATCATACTCATCATGATTCCACTTTTTATTAGTGATGTTGTTGCACTGAGATTACCTACTAACTTTATTATTCCTTATTTCTCGATTTCAAGTGCCAAAATGCTGATAGTATTTTGTCAGAAATATATTAAAAGTTTTTCTTTTGTGAATAATGAATGTTTTGCCTAAATTATATAAATATTAAAAAGCAAATGCAAAATAGTTTAATGTGGAAATATGGAAATATAGACATCACTGGTTAAAAATTGAAACAGTGGTGTTTTTAAAATTAACAATATTTCAAAATTCACAAACTAAGCATTTCCCCTTATATTGCGAATATACTCTTCGGTGGTGTTGGTTTCTTAGTTATACAGATTACAAAACATGAAGTAAGCATCAGCATTACTGACTTAAAAGCAGGTATTTTTTCTCCCAACCAATTTGTTCAATTAATTCACCTTGTTAGTTTTTGCAGTCATTTTTCCATTATTTCTTTTTGAAACTGACAGCAGGGGGCAGTAAAAAACTTCTTAATGTGTTCGTATAATTATGTCATTGTAAAGTCTGCGTTTGTGTTTTCCATTAGAATTTTATTTTCTATCATTTACCTCCAATAGGAATGAAATTATTTCTTTTAAGTTCTATTTCCATTTTTAAAAACACACTGATTTTGGGAACAAAGAATATACTGACTGTCGTGCAAAGCAGTTCCACCACTTTTAAAATAAAACACCATTCCACATATACTTATTTCCAAAATAACCAGCTTCCAAATGCATTTACAGTGCAAGTATACCGTAACATTTCAAAAGTGATATAAAGCAACCCATTTAACATTGAAGGATCAATCCTAGTGAGCAGACCATAATTTCTGTATTAAAATTTACTTAACCATTTTGTAATTCTAAGGGTCACTAAAAATCATACTTTGGCTTCTTTTTTTGCTTGTGGATCCTGGAGTGGTTAATTTCCTTGATAGCTACAGTATGATGAGCTTAAGTAATGTTTTCTTGTCATCTCTCAGTGTACGAAATTCCATGACCAGTGTTGATCAAACACTGCAAGTTACTCCTTTCTAGAATTAAGCCTTTGACATAATGCTCCATTGCTTAAAATTAGTGAACCATTTTTGTATCCTCATTTTTGTTTTGTTTTGTTTTTTTTTTTTTTGAAAGGGGAAAATGTAAATACCTACTAGAGTTTGTGGGTTTTTTTCTTTTTTTAATTTCTGTTCCAAATGTCTTGGTCATCTACGTCACATATTTGTATTTGTAACAAATACCTAAGAACATTGAGCTCTTTTGACCACAAGAGACATATTACAGTTAAAATCTTTGAAGGAAATGTTGTAGAAGGAAGAAAACACTTAAGAAAGAGCACGGGGCCATTAGAATCTAGCTCAGGCTGCAGCACTCTAGGAAAACCTGTATGCAGACACTGGAAAAGCCTCTTAAACTGGAACACCTTCTCCCAGGGTCCCAGAAGCAGCTGACAGACTTATGGAGAGATGTCAGGGGAATCTGAAGTTAGCAGTAAGCTAAGGCCTAACAGGTACTATTAGTTGCTAAGTGGAGAGAGATGCAGTGTTGAGGAGTTGGCAGCTGTGCTGGGAAGGAACAGCGTGTGCAAAGTGGACGAGTTCAGGTGTTCAGGGATGCATCACTGACAAGTATAGCAGTAGATGTCAGCTTACATATGCAGGGACTGAAGCACAGGGAGAAAATCAGACGCTTTGAGATTTAGAGACGTGAAAGCAGAACCACAGCTCCAGAGGGACGTAAGGACAAAGCAGTAAATAGTGACTCAGTTCGAAGGAAACAAGGCAGGATTTTAGTGACTACATTTGTGACAGATCCAGAATAGGGAACCAAATTGCTATATTCGCATAGTAGAGAAGCAGGGAGAAGCCAGTCCAGGTATTTCAAGGCATTTGTATTTAGATACACTCACTTCACCCTTCCACATTTAAGGGACACCAGTCATAGCCACAAAAAGAGTCTATTTCCCTTCTTTATTTTTGTATATCCAACAAAATCTCAACAAAAGAGGGCAAAGCTGATAGAGGAAAAGCTGTGTAAAATAATTGAAGTTATATGCTTAGATAGTATGTGAGTGATATGCAAATTATCTATACCCACTTGAATTACTGCATTAAAAAAGCATGTCAAAGATTATCTGCTTTTCTAATTTTGTCCTAATGTTTCATATCTTTCGTGCACTACTTCAGAAGAGCATAGACATATTTATCTTCCATTTTTTTCCACCCCCAACTTTGTGTTTTGATACAGAAAAATCATGAAATTCGTTAGTTCAAAATTACTTTTGATGTCTTCACATTTTCATGTTAGACTTCTGAAAATAGTTTATTAGAGCAACTATATATTTTAAACCTCTTACTTGTAAGATAACTGAGGAAGACAACTGTAAAATGATGTACCAGGTAACATAAATTAGTCATAAAGGCTAGAACAACCCACACCATCTGACTCCTGGTCCTGAGCTCCAGTGACAAGTGAGAGGACTTTGCAGTGACACTTGCTGTCTTGTTAGCTGTGTCTGGCTTCTCAACCACCTCTAGAAATGGAGATAAGTAGACCCTCTGCATTTAAAGATCTTCAATGACAATGGTAGCATAATAATTTCTAGAATATTTTTCTGTATAAGAAAGCCCTAGTCCTTCATAGTTATTCTTCCCTTTTTTCAGTAAGCTAATAATAGGCAACATAAACCAAAAAAGTTTTTTAAAGAACGCATATTCTTTGCCAAATAGTTACGAATAAAACACAGCATTACAGATAGTGGTTCAAACAAGTCCTGATATTCAGACTATATTATAAGGTAATTGTGTATATATGCATAAGGAAAAAAATGAAACACTTTCAAACACCCACCTACTGCAGTAAAAGTGAAATTCAGCAACAGTCCAAACATGTGCTTTAATACTCTAACTACAGTTAGTCATAATAGATCATAAGATGCCTATTAGGTCATCATTACTAGTCTTGTAAAACTTTATTTAATATAGGTAATTAAAATTAATTAAATTCTTTCTTTTTGTAATCAAAACCCAGCACCTCCAGTGCCTCCAATTAGTTTACATTAGCAAGACTTTGATCATCATGAAATGTCAAACAATAGGATTATCCTATCAAATCTATGCAACTCTCTCTGTAGAAATTTCCATATCCTGAAAGACACTAACATCAAAAAAAAGCCATTGAGTACTTTTCTCACTAAGGTATCAGTATATAGTATATCCCATTTATTGATTATATTGATTGGAAAATGTGGCAACAGCACCACTATCCAATAGCTTATGAATATTCAATACCCACACCAGCCACAAGACAGTCTTCCCTACAGACCTGCATTATGGCAGATGTTCCTTTCTGGAGCCTCTATACTTTCTGTCTTTTTGCTGGGAAGGCTTTCCTCCAAGATGCATACAGGACTGACTCCTTCCTCTTTTTTGTATCTGTCCTTTAAGTCTCCTTTAATGTCACCTTCAGTTTATGGCTTCCCAACATTACCCTTTGTAAAAGAGCAGGTCCTGCCCACCCCACTTGCTATTCCACTCTATGATGTGTTTTTTTCCCACAACTCATCTGGCACATTGTACAATTTACTTGTTTAAGTTTTTTTCTATCTAGCTCCTTAACTACAGTGAAAAATCCTTGAGTGTAATGATTTTATCTATTTTACTCATTCTTGGCCTAGAGGCCTGTCTAGCATGTAATAGATACTCGGTAAATACGTGTTGCAGAACTACATGACTGATTTCCATTCCTAGTATATACCAGTATAAGAGTCTTCATAGGAACATTCTTTTGAAAAAAAAAAAAAAACTAGGAAGACTAAATATTCACCAAGGAAGAAATGAACAAGTTAAATTATGATGTATTCATACAAATAATAAACCAAAATTGTGCATAAAAAGATATCCCAAAACTCACAATATCAACCAAAAATAAGTTTTAAAAAGTACACACAAATTTAATGAATAAATCTGTTCAAGTTCCATTTTCAAAACAGTTCAACCTCAGATCTACAGATATAAGAATATATAGAAATGCACAGGAATGATGAATGCTAAATTCCACTTAATAATAACTACAGAGATAAAAAGAATATGATGGATAGGGAGTACAGAGGGCTTCAACTATTTGCAGTGCTTTAATATACACAGTAGAAACACAAATATAAATTGGTATTTTAAATACGATATTGAAAAATACCAACTTTTAAATTTTACTCTACTATCC